CTTATACTTGCTGACGGAGATTCTCACAAACGACAAAGAAAAGCAATGTCTCCTATATTTTCTTTTGCCATTATCAAGGTATTCTTTTACGACAATTAATGATCTATTAAAAAGTTAATCGAAATTATAAATAACAATTTTAACTTTTCGAATTTTAAGGAAATGATTCCAACATTCGTTCAAGCTGGACATACATTAAAAACTATCTGGATGAAAGAAATTGGTAATAAGAGAGAGGAAAGAATCACGATTTCAGATTCAATTTTAAAGATAACAATGGATGTTACTGGCCTTGTTGGCAAGTATTAATTTATATTCATACTATATGCTAAGTTTTTTTTAATAACACTCCAAATAGTAAACGTAATCATATTATTTATTGTAAATAGGATTTAACTACGAATTCAATTCTACAACTACAGAGACTGAATTAGCTAAAGCATACGATTTCGTAACTAAACGAAATCTAACGCCTTTATACCTTTATCTTTCCAAACTTCTTCCGTTTATCAGAAAATTGCCAACGGATGATAACAATAAATTTTATGATGCTATTAACACTATCAATAACATTTCCGAGAAACTACTTGCTAATCAAAAAAATAGTTCTGTTCAAGGAACAGATTTATTGTCATTATTGGTAAAAGTAAATTATCAATTACCTGTTAATGAACAATTAACTCATAGTGAATTAGTTAGTTCGGTAAGGATTAATTAATAATCTATTTAAACTTTTATTTTAATTATTGAATATATGAAATTATTTAAAATATATAAAATATATACAGTAAAACCACCATAAGTGCACACCCCTCTCTAAATGCACGCTTAAATTCAGGCCCAAAATATATAGATTACCTCCATAACGGTACTTTTTCTTATTGTTATCTAAGTGCACGTCGTTAAAGTTCAGCACCAAGAGCGTGCACTTATGGAGGTTTTACTGTATAATTTATTAAATTTACTTAAAATTTATATCTAATAAATTTCAGGTTATGACTTTCCTTTCGGCTGGACACGATACCTCCTCTGTTGTATTAACTTGGGCATTATACTTACTAGCAAAAAATCCTGATATTCAAGATCGTCTTCGCAAAGAAACACTTGATATATTCCCTGATCGTGATTATCATCCA